TTAGGGTTTAGGGTTCAGGGTTTAGGGCTTAGGTGTAGGGTTTAAAGGTTTAGGGTTTAAGGATTAGGGCTCGGGGTTTAGGGCTTAGATTTCGGGTTTAGGCATTTTTTGGCAGCGCGAGGGTTTAGAGTCTAGGGTTTCGGGAGTTAGGATTTGGGATTTAAAAACCATCCGGCAGCTAGCATATGTTTGATGTTGAACCGTGGGAGAGGTTATTGAAAAGTACCTGACCCTAAACCCTAAACCCACTGTTTCTTCTCTTGAGCTAACACGGAAGCCCAACAGGGCCTGCGCCCTACAAAGACAACGCTGCACAGATCTACTATAGGGGCCTAAACGATTGCCGAAAGCATGTTGGGCTTAGGGTTTAGGGTTAGGATTTAGGGTGTTGAGGCCGACTTGATGTACCCTATACTCTCAAGATACATAAGATCTTGGACAACAATGTTGGCCGCTGTATCAACCCTCTTCTCCTTTTTCACATCCCCTGCTGCATCTCGTCCTGCCCCCCATCTTAGGGTTGCAGTTCGCAGACATCATGGCAGTGCACCATGTACCGAACACACTCTATTGGTTCAGGATTTTCGGGTTTACGGTTTAGAGTTTAAGGTTCACCCTGCTATAATAGTAATATAGTATCAAAACTTGTCGTTATTGTTGCTATGGTTACATATTGGTATATTAATATATTATTCTGCTAGTATCTACCACAAGAGGAATGCCCAACCTAGTCTACCCCGGACGAGAAACCCAACTTAAGGGTTCACTGTCCTACTAGTGAGTGGATCATAAATTGGGTTGCGGGTCCCCTATAGTTGGTCTGCTTATAACTCTTTTTACCACCTACTTACTAAATCCCATGAGACACTAAGTACGACCCCCACCCCGCCCGAGGGGATTCTGGACAAGGTTGAGTGCTGAGGGCTTAGGGGTATGTTGAGAGTTCGTCCTTCATGTAGGGGTATACATCGAAGGAATTGGGGGTCCTGCCTAAACCCTAAACCCGAAACCCTAGACCCCTGAGAGGGATACCGAAACCCCTGAACACCAAACCCTCCATGACTTATTCAGGGATATACGGGGTTGAGGGTTTAGGGTTTAGAGTTTAGGGTTTTATGGATTCCGGGGTCTACCTTCAAGATTCCTGTGGCCCCCAAGGGGTGGACCTACTTCTAAAGGCTAGATCTTATCTTGCTAAACCCTAAACCCTAACTACCAGGAGGCCATTGGAAGGGGTTATATAACATGTATGTATAGTGTTTAAGGATTAGGGCTTAGGGTTTAGGGTTTAGGGTGTAAAGGTGAGTTATGACGTGAACTCCTAGTATCCCCCTTAAAACCCCTATCATGCTCCCCTAAGTGATCTCACATATAACCCCCTTTTAGGAGTTTACGCCTTAAACCCTCAACCCTACATACCCCTATGTAACCCTATATAATCCCCGATATAACCCCCTTTAAAGCGTCTGGACTATAGCTCATATGCTCTCAGACTTGAGATTCGAGGTTTGGGGTCTAGGGGCGAAGCTCCACTACTAGACCCAAACCAGCATGGAACCCAGGGGTTAGGGTTTAGGGTTTAGGGCATCCCTAAACCCTAAACCCTAAAACCTAAACCTTCAACCCCTAAATCCTAAACCCTAACCCCCTAAATCTTAAGCTCCCAAAACTCTAAATCCCTAAATCTCTAACCGTAGACCTTCTCTGAATGGATGCGAGTCTCTCGGCGGAGGGTAACTCAAGGATCCCTTCGGGTGTGGCCACCGCAAAGGTGAGCCAAGTGTTTAGGGTTCAGGGTTTGGGGTTTTAGGGTTTAGGGTGTAGGGTTTCTGTTTAGGGGTCAGGGTTCGCGGTGTTAGGGTTCAGGGTTTAGGGTTCAGGGTTTAGTGTGGGCAACAGCCACACGGTTGGAGGTTGAGGGACCCTAACTCCTAAACACTAAACCCTAAACCCATGAACCCCTAAGTCTTACATCCTAAGCCCTTACTTATCCTAAGCCCTTACTTACCCCTAAACCCTAAACCCTAAACCCCTAACCCCTCAGGCTTCTGAATCGCAAAAGTCGTCCCGTGGAGGCCCAGCCTAAGCCGTGCACGGAGAAGATCTCAACATAGGTACCCATTGGGGTAATGTTGGGGTTCTATTGGGCTTATAGGGATAATGGAAAAGAAAATGGAAACTGTAGGAATTATGGGGATTAAGGGTTTAGGGTTCAGGGTTTAGGGGATTAGGGGGTTAGGGGGGTTGGGGGTTGAGGGTTTAGGGCTTTAGGGATTTAGGATTTAGGGGTTTAGAGTTTAGCGGGATTAGGGTTTAGTGCGCATGTGAAGATTACTACAGCTTGGGAAATAAATTATTGTGGGTTTAGGGGCTTAAGGTATAGGTCTTGTTTGAAGATGCTTTTCAACTACAGTGCAGGAAAGTACCTCTAAAAGTAGATTCTGAAGCGCGGGAAAGTAAACTATACGTAGATCCTTATGATAAATCCCGTATTGCTCTTCAGGTTTATTTTTCATTTTAGTTTCCAGGTATTCTGAAATTTGGGGATCAGGGCCGGGATTGAGTTAGAATGGCCTAAGGCTTAAGATTCAGGATGTGGGGCTCAGGAGTATTCGGGTTGGAGATCGGGACAACAACACACTAGTCAGGGAGAGTGTTGGGCTTACCCTAAGGGTTCAGGCACTTAACCTTCACATAACCTGCGCTACAATTACTAGCACGTACCCGAGGACCCAATTAATAAGTGCTTGGACCCCGAGGTCACGGCACTCAATGATGAAGAGTTGGAGTTTACAGCCGTGCGCATTTACCGCACTCTGGAGCACAGGCTGCGCTTGCCACAGCCAGAAAAAAAGGTCCAGGTACCAATATAGTACATTCCTCACGCAAAGGATCACAGAGACGTATTAGCAGAATGTGAGGTTTCTTGACTAAGATGAAGCGGTATAGGTTTGTGGTAGTAGCCCCTACTGTATGTACGTACTTAGTAGCCTTTGGGTCCATGTCAGCTGCAGTAGTGCGGCAAAATGTGCAGTTCGTCTGAAGAGTCGCACGAGGTTTAGAGTTTATAGGGCTTCTGTAATGAGCACATGATCATATCATCCTCTTCCAGATTATCTACAACCTCATGGGATCCCGGGGCACATGGGCATAATGCAGTAACATGGGCGGGGATTTGTGAGGAAAAAACATTTCTCCTTGGCCCAGGAGCAAGCGTCCGCTCATGCCCATTTCCTGCGCAAAGCGCGTTGCCTCGGTTCTAAGGTTTGGGATTTAGGTTTAGGGTTGAAGGTTGAGTGTCCGGGGCTTGGGGCCGAGCATGTAGGGTCTGTGGCTATGGTTGACGGTTTGGGAATTAAGCACCGGGCCTTTGCTTGCTTTAGTGGTGATTAATTCGGAATGAGATGTATATACCCTAAACCCCTCAACCTAAATGTTAAGACATTGGGGACTACAATCGGGATGCTTTCCTGCATTCCCTACTAGCCACAAGAAAGTCTACGTTTTGGGGTTTAGGGGTCTAGGGTTTGAGTAGTCGCTTCTAGGTATTATAGCAGAAGCCATACATGTTTTCTGACTTAACACAGACAGCAGACGTCTGCGCAAGTGACGCCCCAACTAGAACAGGCTCTATATACCCCAAACCCAGAACCGTACCTAAACCCTAAACCCTCAACCCAGAACCCCAAACACTGAAATCCTGAAGGGCAAAATCCTCCTGAAACACTCTAACCATCTGATTATCCACCTACTTCCTGAAAGGAGAACGGTTTATAGTCCCCCTTAAGTAGATCGAATATAGGGTTTAGAGTTTAAGGTTTAGCGTTGAGGGTTTAGGGTATAGTCCCCCTTAAGTAGATAGAATATAGGGTTTAGAGTTTAAGGTTTAGGGTTGAGGGTTTTTAGGGTATAGTCCCCCGTAAGTAGATAGAATATAGGGTTTAGGGTTTAAGGTTTAGGGTTGAGGGTTTAGGGTATAGCCCCCCTTAAGTAGATAGAATATGGGTACGGGGATCTGACTATAATACACCCAAAGCCATATTCGATCTACTTTAAGGGGACCATAGGGTACGGGGACTCTGCGGTTCGGAGCTACTGACCACCTGGTGTGTAAGCATGATCTTACACTTACTAGGGCTTGCTACACACTTCGGGTGACTCAAAAAATCGGGCCTGTCACTCAACCACACAAAAGCTATGCAGTTGCAATTTCACTTGTCACTTGATTTTCCATTTCGTTCTCCATTATTCCTATACACCCGCTATGCAACTAAACCCGAAACCCTATACCCTAGATTATCCCTATAACCCTATGTAGCACCATGAGCCGCCGTTGTAGTGGACCTTTCAACCTCAGTTCAAGGGGGTTCTCTCTTGTGACTGACTTACTAACCCTAAAATCCCTACGTGGCACTTAGGACCCCTACTAAGGGTTAACCCTAAGGTACCTATAACAGGAACATGAGAGAATCCCAAAGGGTTCAGGGTCTAAGGTCCAAGCTAAGTCCCAAGGACTAAATTGCCCCTAAACCCTAAACCCTTTAGAGTCCCAAAAAGATCCTAAACCATCCGCCCTACCTCCCGTCTCAGGTTTTGGGGTTTCCCGGATGTCTGAACTCACCGCACCATGAAGCAGCCCTGCTGAAACTAAAGTTTAGAAGCCAACCTTAAACCCTAAACCCTAAGGGAAAACATGCAGGCAGGAAATCCGACTTGCAGCCCCACAAACTTTAACGACTTGGCGTCTAAGGCCTCAGCAACTGCCCAGAAGAACCTGGGGTTTGGGGGTTTAGGGGTTTAGGGTTTAGTTTAGGGTTTTGGGCTCAGAAATACATTACATCAAAAAAACTTTAAGGATAACATTCTGAGGTGTATGTAGGGTCCTGTACTAGACTAATTTCCACAAAGAAGCTAGTCATTTTTGAGGGCGCTACATCACCCTAAACCCTAACCCCCAAATCCCTACATTATGCCCTGATCAACTTAGCCAAGCAAGTGGCGGCAGCAAATGGCCCTGGAAATCGCCAGGGTTTCTCCGGCGCAAAGTCGTGGCCGGCAATGATGCCGCCTGGCCTCTCACAAGCCCAAACGGTGCATGATATACCTCTATGGGTATCCCAACCCTAAACGCTTGAATCAGGGCAAAAGTACTTTGGGATATTGGCGGGATCTTCATGCTGACAGACAAAGAGTCCTCCAAATCACAATACACTTGGTGAAGACAGAGAGATATGAGCCATAGATTTTCTGTGGTAGTAATAGGGGGCTTATGGGGCCTAGGGAGAAGTGAAAATCAAACGAACAAGAAAATGGAAAACAAAATGACAGTGGGGACTATGTACTTGATTCGAGGGATTACTGTTTCTTTGTAACTCGTGAACATGGTTCCTACGAGGGAATATAATGAGGAACTATACCAGCTATCAAAAACCCTATTGTCCCTGTGACCATGCTTTTAATGGTGCTTTTGTAAGTCTCATATTGAGAGTATCTCAGACGATAATTGCAAGAGGGTTGTTGGGGCCCCATTCGCAAATGTCATGATTGGATGACCCGTCTGTATCTCTGTATACATTATAGTCGTTGTGGCCAACGTGTTAAATCTAAAGCAGCGCGCAAAGACTAAAGGCGGGGCGATGCTGTCATCAAGTTGAAGATAGGCAGTGTTTTGCCCATTTTGCAGTTACGGAAGCGTTGGTAATTTGTGGAAATGCACCAAATGCATGGGATAACCATTTAAGCCCACATTACCTACGAAGAAAAAAGGATCCTTTTTACGTGAATATAAGGAATCCTACACCCCCCAAAAGTATAAAGGATCCCTAACACTGATCCAGATTTATTGGGTTCAGGGCTTAGGGTTTAGGGGTTTAGGGTTTAGGGTTTAGGGTGAATTTCCGAGCCCGCGGTCTGTGTGTCAAGAAGTTGGGGAGGCCAGCTGCAGAACATTAGGGTTTAGGGTTTAGGGTTTCAGGGTTTAGGGTTTCAGGGATTAGGGTTTAGAGTTTAGGGTTTAAGGGTTTCGGGTTTAAGGGTTTAGGGTAAACATGTGTTTTTGATATCCCGAACCCTACAGGTAGGAGCCCCCAAGTTATAACCTACGTCCGCGATTTCCTGGGAACCTTCATGATATTAGGATGTCCTTAGGGGGGGCTGGTCCAAGGGGGTCAGGTAAGCTAGTAATCCCCCAAGTCTCCCTTGTACCCTCCCCCCTTGAACCACCCCCCCTTTAGGATCCCATAATGATAACGACACCACTATCCTCGAGGACTCCTTGCGCATAAAACGCACAACGGCTCGCGCACCACCTCTACCCTGAAGGCCCCGAGCTCGATGGTCTGCCAGCCTGTAATAATGGCATGATAGGAATGTAGTAAGGCCCTACGGTGAACACCAAAATCATCACTCTATGGAGATACCCATATATGACGTGTACGGGTCAAGTGTAGCGTGGGCCTGTATCACACTCTCCCGGCACACGCTACGCGTCAGCTGCGTAGAAGGCAGGCTGTGCGTATGGCATTGAAAGCATGGTTGATTGCAGCTTCATCGGTCGTATGCAAAAAGACAGCGGCGTGACTGGCGCGCACCGTGCGGCCGTTTCGCACTGCGAACCATGCCCTGGTTTTGTGGTGCTTGTAAATGCTTGTTTTGGGTGGCAGCTTGGATGCATCCAAAACCTTGGCCACGGCCTCAAATTCTGTGCGTTCGGGCCGCGCTGCCAGCCGCAGCCAGCGCGACCGTAGATCTGCCAATCACTTGCCATTGCGCATGACAGGGTCCTGTCCACCAGCGTGGGGCCGTGTGCCTTCTCCAGCTGCAAACCTATGGCCTTTACGGCTAGAATCCCTACAGCTAGGGACCACAGCTACTATAGTCAGCGAAGAACTCAAGATAGGATGCAGGGACACTAGGCTGATGAGCTCACCTATGTGGGAGAAGCAGGAATCGGCAAGAACACGAGCCCAGAACCCTAGATCCCCACTCGCTTAAGGATGTAGTTTCCTTAGACCTTTAATTTAAAAACAATATTTGCAATTCGTCCTTAGGGTTTTACTATAATAAGAAAAATCCTAAGGACAGTACAGAAGTGTTTCGGGTTCTCCAATCTCGGTGGCAGCCTAGACCCTAACGTGGCCTTCCTATAGGGGCATATGGCATTGCCTTCGGCTATGGGAATTATGTGTATACACACATAAATACATATATACACATATATTGCTTGAGTGCAGAGGGGACATTATCCAAACGATGGAGAATGAAATGCCTAAGGACATGGACCCTACAAGGTAGTTTCACTAAAGCTGAGTACGTACGCTTATATGACGCCTAATACACTATAGTCCTTATCAGAGCGACCCCCTTTAAAGCACCAGTAGTTGTCAACCCGGAAACGTATGCCTGACTTTGGGCCACCACGAGTGGAGATGAAGCGCAACGTAAGGCACCGTATGGACCGCGTCCACAAACACAAAATCCATGGACTGATCCTTGTTTAGGGTTTAGGGGTTGGAGTCACCCCTACAAATGAGTTTAAGTTTTTTGGGCTTCGCTCGTTCTAAGCATTGGCGCAAGCAGTAGGGCTGCGGGCGAAGTGGACCCGAAAGCAGCTCGCAATCCGCGGAGCTGAATCCGTAGGGATTAGGGTTTCGGGTTTAGGGTACATCAGGTGGTCATAATGTAAAACGCTGAAGTTCGCTTAGCTTTGTGCCTTCAATCTGCGGCCTTCATGCCACTCTTTTGCGCAGTCCAGCTTATTAAAGGTTACAACTCTTTAAACCCTAAACCCTAGCATCAGCTCATTCGTCTATGCGCCTCTTCTGGTAGTCTTTTGCAAGCTGGTTGTTAGCAGGGAATGCGGGAATATGATCCCTTCATAATCCCTGTATCATATATACCCGTATACTCCCTACTATGAACCAGCAAGCTGGCTTTAGCTGTTTAGCTCAGAAATTGCCCCCACATGTTCTGGCTCAGGTTCAAACAGGCTACTTCAAAGCTCAGTTAGGGTTTAGGGTTTACACTCAGTATACTTAGTGGCTAGGTTGTAAAAGGGGTTGTGCACAGACTGGCCAGAAACTGGGGCATCAATCAATCCCACATATGGCCTACTTGCTAAGTCCCCTGAGCCTTCAAGTATCCCATTGGGCATCGAACCCTTCAGATAACGGCCAACAACAGGGATCTAAGAAGCTCTAGCCCACCCAACACGACAGCCCGTGTACTTCTTCAGGGTCCCTACATGCACCCATCGAACCATAATGGCACACTTGCCTGAAAATGGAGAAACCACAAGGGGGCAGAACACATGGAAGTTTCTCACATGACCCCCTCACCCTAGAAGCTTCCATTATCCCTGTATAACCCTATGTAGCCCCAATATAACCCTAACACTATCCCCATACCTGAAGGCATTTTCAGGACCCCTCTATACATGCGGAACCCCTAAACCCTAAATTCCTCTATAAACCCTAAACTCTAAACACTAAATCCCTCTATACATGGAACCCCGGTAGGGAAACGCTGCAATTTCCTGCTACTCCTCAGACCTTCCACTGAAAAAAACCCTGAGCCGTAAACCCTAAACCCTGAACCCTGTACCCTAAACAAAACCCTGGCCAAGCATATAATTAATACCTACATTGGGCTCTGAAGTCTGTAAATAATACCTACATTGGGCCCTAAATTCAGTAAATAATACCTACATGGGGCCCTAAAGTCTGTAAACAATACCTACATGGGGCTATTTGAATCCCTATGGAAAAGAAAGGCGAGCTTCCAGAACTAGTCTGCTGGCAATGGCACCTGGCATAGGGCTGAAGCTTGAGTGCCCAAAATCTGTTCCGATCTGCTTGAAAAAACTGTGGGTGTCCTAGCCCAAAGGGTCCAGGTACCTAAGTTATACTTACCTAAACCCCAAATAAACACTATAGGAATCACTTTGGTTCACGAGTATCTATTGTATGGCTACCTGGACTCAACAAACGAATACACTGATGTACTTCCCTGGCCTAAACTCTGCAGCTGCCCTCTGGTCTGATTAGGGTTTAGGGTCTAGGATTTAGGGTTTAGAGTTTAGGGGTTAGCCCGAATATCGCTGCCTTTGGTTCCCGTAGCTCGAATGCAAGTCAAAGTGGGACGTCTGCGGTTATGTCTTTTCGAAGATCCTACCCTAAGAGCCTAGGCATCCTACGCACCCACCTTTAGGGCTCATGGTCCCCCTTAAGTAGATTAACTATGGCTTTGGGTGCATCATAATGAGATCCTATGGCCCCATATACCCCATATTCTATCTACTTGAGGGGGAGTATAGGGTTTTGGGTTTAGGGGTTAGGGTTGATGGGTTGGGTCCGATGTGGTACAGTCCCCCTTAAGTAGATAGAATATGGGGTATGTGGGGACCTTATTATAATATACCCGAAGCCATATTCTATCTACTTTCGGGGGACGATTTCTGTTTGGTGGCCAAATGAAATCACAACGTCATCAGCAAGAAGCACCAAAAAGCTAAAGGCGCTACTCTGTAGCAGGTAATGGCATCCTGGACGTCCGTAAGCTTTCTCGCGCTCGAGGGGGCGTAGGGGCGCGGACCCCTTTAACAAGCCCTAAATGAGCTATGGTCTAAACTCCTGGTATCCCCCTTAACATGCCCTGAAATACTCCCCCACCAAATCCACTATATCACCCCTTTAAGGAGTTTACCCAAGGGCTCCAATGTAGTTCCTTTTTTGGTCTGTTATGGTTGTCTGGTAAGGGATTATAATATACTACCCAAAAAAAGAACTACATAGGAGGGTCTGGGTAGACTATAGCTCACATACTCTTCAGAAAAAGACCTACCTCAGCCATGAAAGTATGTAGAATGACAGCATCTCGGGCTCTTATTCTGGATGTTGGGTTTAGGGTTTAGGGTTTAGGGTTAGGTAAAGCTGAAACCATGGGCCCTTAGTACGGGCCCTTAACCCTGGGATTCTGATATACCTACTGTTTTTTATCCCCTTTGTACCCGTAAGGGGCCCTAGAATCCCCCTGGAAGGCCTAAGGGTCCATATCAGGGGCCCATAAACCCTAAACCCTCAACCGCGTGGCTCTAACCCTATACTAAATCTGATTCTTTAGGAGGTCCAGGTACGTTCGCTCCTCCACTCTCCTGTAAGCATCAGCAAGTAAGCCCTATACACCCTGGGCACCCCGAAGCCCAGCAAAACAGTGTTTAGGGCTTAGGGTTTAGGGTTTAGGGCGGGCTTAACCCCAAACCCTAAACCTAGACCCTCCTCCTACCCTCTATTAGGGCTTAGTACCCACTATTAGGGACCATATAGCCCCAATTAAGGGTACAAGGAAGGTCCTGGAACGCCAAACCCTGGTATTTCAGCCCGCCTGTCTCCTGGATGAGGTGCACTTTGGGCTTGAATTTCAGCGCCACGTCCTCAAGCAGCCCTCCACAATCTACTACCAGGACCCTCCTTGTAC